ATTTTGTCATTTATGAGAAAATTAAATACTAACTACCATAAATTTGTGGGAAACTGATTGGATAATGCCAACCAACTCCTCCTGGCCTTATTACTTGGATTCTTGAGCCACAAGCACTTTCTTTTCAAGAAGACCATAATCCTTAAGTGCAGGAATTCTACAGGCTGCCTAGGTCTAAATTCCCTGCTCCGGTTGCACCAGCTGTTTGGAGTCCTGAGCCTCTCTGCATCTCAGTTTCCTGATTTGTAAAGTGTGATAATAATAGAGTGTGTCTCGAATGGTAGTTATGAGCATCAGGTGATTTAATATATGGAAGTTCTTAAACTGTCCTAGCTAACTATAAGTACTATGTAATTTTAGACATTACTGTAGAGTTATAATGAGTTCTATCTTATCAAGGACCACTAGGTAGAATTTGCTTAAAAGTAAGAATTTTAGAGACCTAAAAGTGTTTTCAAGAAATTAGAAAGTTGTCACTAGTGTTTCTTGACTTTCTTCCTGGATGTCCTTATTTAACATAAAAATTTCTCCTTTGTGTGCTTCTGGTTAATGAGAGTCCAACACAGCCATAAACAGCAGGGAAGGAGCCAGGTTTGGAAGGACACTTAAGCACTTTTTTAAAAGTTCTCTGAATTCTTCTTCCTACTATTCTCTGTTATGTTTCCTTCTTTTCCCTCAACCAATATCATTATTCTCACAAGTGTCTTTATCATTCTTGAGGTTCTAGGACTATACAAACTCAATGAACCAGCTCTCTCCCATTCAGGGAGATAGATTTATCCAGTTACCCCCTATGCCCACTAATGAGGCCCAGGTTTGAGAGAAGGTAAATTGGGCCATAGACATCTGTCTGGGGTATGTCTACCCAAGGAGTACACAAGGCTTTTCAAGGGCCGTGTGGCAGGGCACTGAGAGTATGTTTTGCCTCTGGAGGATAGATTCTGACTGACCTGTTTTAAAGTCAGTCCCTGCAAAATCCCCTGGTTTCGAACTGAGTTCCATGCACTCCAACCTGCAGGTGTAGGTCTTATACAAGCACAATGAAATTTTTAAGAGAATACATTCAGGATTTCAGATTTCCTAAATCAGTCTGCCTGAGACGATGCCTAAGATTGAATTGTAATTCTGGTTCTCCTTTCTGACGGTTCCCACTTTATAAGTTGTCCACGAAAGAATTTACCTTTACTTTCGTTGTCATTTACACCATCCAACTATTGTCAAAAAAAAGGGTCCCTTTTGAAGGGAGCCCCACCAAAGTAAGCAGAGACATAATGAAGGTAATGGTACATCATTTTATCAGTAATAAATTCATGGCAAAGCGATGCTTTCTCTATCTTGGAATTAGAGAAAGAGGCGTTTTCTGGCAGAGGACAATGTGATTTGGCATATTAAAATAAAACAGCATTCAAATTTACCCACCTTTCTGGGTGTATTGGGTTGAACAAGGTGCTTCTAAGTAAAAGAGAAATGTATCTTTAATAGTCATTTGATAAGGCCTGGTAAAATGTTAGCAGCATACTATCCAGATATTGTGAAATTGAATGAATTTAATACTGAGTTACAAAGCCCTTTGCAAGTCAGGTATTTTTCAATTCATTGCTTTGAAAGAAATTGAAGGAGGAACTAATTGAATTGTCAGCTGTGAGATCATTAAAATAATTTTTGAAGCTGTATTACTATGTGATTGTTGGCACACATCTTGGAAGGGGTTCAAAGAATTGAGTGGCACTGCTATACAAGATTCTCCCTTGCTTATGTGAACTAGGTTTTTCTCAAACAAAAATAGGAATTGAATTGATCCTGAGCTCTATCTCATTCTAGCAGTAATGATATTTATTCAAGGTATAATTTTAAAAAAGTTTCATCTACCCCATTAAGTACTATATTTCCTGTAAAACTTTACTTTTTATGTTTAATTATACTTAAAAACATGGACAATATATTTATGTTGTTTTATCAATATTGTCCTTGTAATGATAACTCATTCTAAGAGAAGATAGTATTACTCCGAGTTTTATGATCACAGAATATAAAAGAAATCTCAATTTCAATCACTCTCTGTATATTTGCAAATAAATATGATAACTGATCAATAAAAGATTTTTAAGCATGAAATACTACAACAAGATAAAATCTTGCACAGGACATATGTTGGAAACACAAGTTACAGTTTTAAAAAAGAACAACGTACATTTTATGACTAATAAAGAAGAGCTTGTTCATGAATTTTGAAACTAGATAATCAAATCAATATTGCATTTATATTTTATTGAATATATATATATTTATGAATATTGTGACAGTTTAATTTTAAAATCTGAATATTCTCCACAGGCCAACGATGCATCCTTTTAATTTAATTTTTAAAAATTGTATCAACTTAAAAATGTGCAAGAGGTTACATAATTGACCAAAATAAAAGCAGGAATATGTGTTTGCACTTTGTCACCTGGGTTTATGTGGTTCTAGGGATTAGAAGGTGACTCTCTTTACTCTGTCCCAATTTACCATCCACTTCTAGGCTTGCCAGTTCCTGGGACTGCACAATTAGAACTTCATTGTTAGGAGTTATTCAAACAGGGATTTGGTGTTTATGAAAACACAGCTGTCATAAAAAAAGGTTGCACACTAATCCTTATCAATCATTTGCAACTGAGAGTGAATGAATGAGTTTATCTTTTTTTTGTTCCCCCTAACAAATGCTTTTGGAAATGTAGAGTGGGGAAGGTTCATTAGGGCTTTTGGTCTTCATAAAGGAAATAGAAAGTTGCTAGAGAAGGAAAAAACTACACAGAGAGTGAAGCTAGGGTCCCAGGATATGGAGGAAACAGCATGACTACATTTTTTCTTTTTTATCACCATGACACACCTATGAAGGTGGCAGTCACTCAGTGATACTTGAATTATTATAATCTAATGGTAAATGCGGTTGGACCCCCAAAACTAGTGGTGTTCAGAGATGTCTGTGGTCACGTTCCAAAAAACTATTTCTAGGAATATTAGAGTATGATTCTATCTCAGGTAAATAAATCAACACACTCTTTATATATGTGAATATACGTACGTAAGGAGTGAGATGTGGAAGAAGTAACCAGAGTGTTACCAAATTAAGGACATCATTTGCTCACATGTTTAAGCATGCTTATTTCATTTTTGTAGTTTGAAAAGCAGCAAATAAAGAAAATTTAGAAGAGGAAAATTTCTTCCTTTGAAAGCATCTAATTATCAGCCCAACCTCAAGGTTGCCAGGACCTGCTGAATGATAGGTGGACCTGTGCATAAGACTTCTGTGATTGGAAGCTAGTATTATTTCTATGTGTCCTACCAACCAGGGAGAGTACTTTGCTAGACTGAGCACTTTCCCCTTTCTACAGAATCTATCATGTTAGTGCTCCAGTATTATTCTGCTCCCATGACCGTCAGGCTGTGTCAGGCTGGCCACATTGCTAAGGGAAATCACCATGTCCAAATGTGCATGATCTCTCCTCCATTGCCAGTGTCCTTGGTGTTCTCATCCTCTGAGGCTTGTCAGAAGGATCTCTGCTTTCAGTCAAAATAGGATCAGATTTGGTGAGATATGGCAACGTTTTTTCTGTTTTCTCAGGTGGAGGTGCTGGATTCATGTTCCTTGTGCCCAGAAGGTTGGCCTCATACTTCTTTGCTAGGACTTCTCCAGAGAGCAGTGCAGGTGTAATTGCACCTTCCTATTTGCCCAGATACTGCAACTCAGGTTCAGACTAAAGCAATGAGTGGCAGGTGGGCACACCTAGGGCCCTTTAACTACCTCCTTTTTTGCAATCCACATTTATAATGGATTCTCTTCTCTCTATTTTCTTGTTGTTGTTGTTTTTTGTTTTTTTTTTAAAGAGAGATAGGGATGAGCAGTGGGGAGGGACAGAGGGAGAGGGAGGGAGTAAGCAGGCTCCATGCCCAACACAGAGCCCTACTCGGAGCTCAGTCTCATGACCCTGAGATCATGACCTGAGCAGAAACCAAGAGTCAGACGCTTAACCTGTTGAGACACCCAGGTGCCCCTCTTCTATTTTCTTTCCACAGATTATAGGATCATGGCGCACATATGCAAATTTTCTTTCTGACCAGCAGGTGTATTTATTTCTGCATTAATCTTGAGAGACTGCAAGTCATACACACCATAAAACAAATTCCACTTGCATTCATAGCTTCCAGTTGCAGGGAAGAGTGGATGTGGGGTATGAGGGGGTAGAGGTCAGCTCTTTACCATGATGATGACCGAGGTGACATCAGCCATATTGTTCTCGTGGAGGGGGGTGGCCGTCAGAGGGAGAAGGAACGCTGCCTGACCATTGTCTTCTTCCTTCTGCTGACATCTTCAGAGGTAGCCATGGCTTCCTCAAAGATTGTTGGCTTTCAAAGGTGAATTTTATCAATCCGTGTTATAAATTGTAGTTTGCAGGCTTTGGGTAGCTTAAGGGTACAAGGAGATTATCAATACCAGGGAAGGCTGGAGGTAAATATGTTCACTTTTTGACTAACAACAGGTTAGGTATTTACTTTGTGGATTATCTGTGACCTATTTGAAATACTGAGCCACTCTTCTCACCCTTATGCCCCTGGGCCACCTGTCCTACAAGGTGGTAAATGTGCTCAAGAAATCTAAACTAATTTTCATATAAGCCTGCGGGGAAAAATAAGATGGAAAGCAAATATACAGCAAAGATATTCACATAATATGCTCCTAAATCAAATAGAAATGATTTTGTATCATCGGTTCTTCAGGATGATTCAGGCCACTTTTACCCTCTGTTTAGGAAGTTTCATCAATAATTGATTGTTTCCTTTTAGCATTGGGTTATGTTGTTTTATTTAGTCCTCAAAATACAGCAACCACATTTATAATGCAGTCTCTCAACACTCTCTTCCTCCCTCCCCCACCTCCCTTCCTCAATGTTTCCCTCCCCGTTTTTCTCTCCCCTTCCCCCACATCTTCCCTCTCCTCTCCCCACACCCCTCACTTACAGGTGTACCATAGATGACCGAGTCACCCGTGTGGCCTGGCTAAACCGCAGCACCATCCTCTATGCTGGGAATGACAAATGGTCCATAGACCCTCGTGTGATCATCCTGGTCAACACACCAACCCAGTACAGCATCATGATCCAGAATGTGGATGTCTATGATGAGGGCCCATACACGTGCTCTGTGCAGACAGACAACCACCCTAAAACTTCCCGGGTCCACCTCATAGTGCAAGGTGAGTCACAGCTGGATCTGGGGGTTAGTGGTCCTGTCGATGATGGAAGGGAGGCATAATCTCAGTCTTTGTTTCTACTCATGTAGGAAGACATGAAAAACATTTTCCTCTATGGAACCCCAAGGTTGAGTGTTATGTTTTGGATTCCTTCCCATCTGCTGGATTCTTAACTAAGTACTGAATATCTTCACAGTTTCTCAATTTTATCTCTGGTCCTTCTGTTCTTATTAATAAGTTGTTTGGCGTGTGCTGGTTGAACTATTAAGTTACTTAGCACTTGGAGTTGGGCAAGACATACTAAAAAATAGAGATATTACTATTCTCTGTGCCTTTTAATTACCTTTCATAGGATTATTTCATAAGAGGTTAATAACACTGATGTGAAGTTATGTGCCTTGTGACTGGCTTTTGCATGGTTGTTGGGTATGCATGTTCCAGAAGGGGTTTCTGGGAGCTGAGTCAAGTCCTCCCTGGTATGAAGGCTGTGTCTGTGCATCCCTTTAGCCTCACAATGGAGCTGAGATTAAGAAGGATATTAGTCAAAACGCTATCTCCAGGTCTATGTCAGAAATATATCTATATAATTTTTTAAAAGGGGAGGTGTTCTCTAACATTCTCCCTCATTCTCCCTTTAAAAATCTGTGTCAGTAAACCCAAGCATATTATTCAACAGTTTTTCATTAGAATTTCGCAATGTAGGAAAAAAATAAGGCTGAAGAAATGTCAGATACCCAATTATCAACTATTAAATATTAAGAATTAAAAAACACATTCAAATAGCAGCTATGAGAATTTGGAAGCCATTTTAAAACAAGGCAGCAATACAAATGAACTTATTTTAAGCTGCCCCCAACTAACATCATCCCCCCACCCTCATCCCACCATCACTATGTAAAGCAGTTTCTGTCAGGTATTGACTCATGGTAGCAATGAAGTGCTAGGGAGACTACTTCCCATCCCCCAGTGCCACAGCTTCCTCCTCTAAAGGAGAGGCTTGGGTGGAGCTTTCTCACAGTCTCCTACACTGACCTGTTGGAGTCACACACTGAGCTCTCAGAAGGAGTCCCTGGGTGTGATTCAGTCTTTAGTAAGTGCCTTTTATCAGATCGCATCTGCAGTAGACTCAACGAATTTTTTTCAGTTTGTGAAATGTGTGCGGCATCTTGGCTTAGCTAATGTGGATGTCCTCACCCTTGCTTTACTAAAGAATATAATTTTGCTCATTTCAGTTGGTTTCATGGAGAGTTTGAATAGAGGTTAGTGTCTTTTCACACTTTTGTCACTTGTAGAATTCAGGGGGGGGCATCACTTTCTTTTGGCTAGAACAGTTTTTTGCTATGTCTCCAGCTCTGTGGGCCATTTGTTACGGCATGTGCAGGACCAGAGATCAGTCTGCTGCAGCTTTGTTCTGCAGCAGGCCCTGGTGCTGCCATATTGTTTGAAGCCCAATCTCAGTTCAGCCTTCCAGCCCTTCTCTCCTCCCCGAGGGCTTTCAGATGCCCACATCAGCCTGCATTTGACAGTTATCTGTACACTCAGCTGTTTCCATTCTCCATACCTGTCCCACCCAGGGGCATGGCTTGGTGATAATCACTGCTTTGGAGCTACAAGATGGCCTGCCATCTGGAGATCAAGACAACTGTCATGTCTGATGTTTTTTCTCAGAGGCTGGTAGTGGTGCTTGGTGAGATCAGTTATCTGAGATGAGCTGGAATGTCTGTTGAAAGTTCCTGGGGGTGCAGAAAACAAGGGAGTGTGAGTTCTCACTACCCTGCCTGCCACCTGGGCTTGGCTTCAGAGGAGCTGAAATTCTCAGCATTGGAAGTGACGCATCCGTGGCACCTTCGTGGCCTTGACAGCAAAGTTATCTTCAAATTCAGGAAATGCAGCACTGAAATAAAAAAGAACTGTCAGGCACTCTACAGAACCAGACTCAAACAGAACAAGGCTATCACTTTTTAGGAAATAAGACAGATTGTATAAGCATGTCAAAGTCAACATAGGCCATAAAGGGCTAGTGATCCAGATTCGGGGATAATGTGCTTCTTAAGGCCCATGGAGCAATTCCTTGGGCTGGATATGGGAGCCAGTGGTGTCTCCCTGTGGGCCTCATAGGTTTGGGTCAGAAAGAGTCTGAGAACAGGCAAGAGCAGAGCAGTGAGGTGACTTCAATTTCAGAGGTCAGGTCCTCACAGTCTCCACATTTCAGACCAAGTGACTGTTGTAGCTCTGGGTGGCTGAGGTGGCCTGTGAAATCCAATGTGGGGAAGGCGGAGGTAAAAGGAGACAACCTTCCCATGGAACACTTAGCAGATGGATCTTTCCATTTATTGAGAGGTAAAAGGAAGACCCACAGGGAGCTACATTCTCTTCTGTCTTGGTTAGCAATGGGGCAACTTGTTCTTTCTTTGGAGACCAGTTGAATTTCTAGTGGGTAGAAGCAAAGACCCTACTGCTCAATTAGAAAGAAGTCCAAGACTCCTCCTTCTTCCCAGCACCTATCAGCTTTTGTCCAGTCTATAGATTAATTTTTCAGACTCAGTGTTAGTTCAGGTTAGATAAAGATAATGAAAGTTTCCTAATCCTCTTAAAGAAGATTTATCTGACTGAGTAGAAAGCTTTTGGAATACAATAAGGCATGTATAAAACTGAGGCCTAATCTTGCCTTTAATTTCAAACTGCTGATGGGTATTGATTTTGCAATGAGAAAAACTGAAAAATTTCCGAGCTGCAACTTGTCTGTTTAGAGAGAGAGAGAGAGAGAGAAAGGAGTTTATTTATTTTCCATCCATTTGAGGATGTTAGAATCTCATCACCTCTGCCAACCAAGTGCCATTAGCAGAAGGGAGAGCAATCCCACAGGGCCCTGGCTTTGTTGCTCCCTGCTTCTGCAAAGTGAGGAACTCAGACATGCTCTGTCACTAACCTCGGAGCCTGTCCTTTGCTGTTTTATAAGGTGGCCTTTGCCACATATCTGATGGGATTAATTTCTAGGTCTTCTGTGAGAGAAGAAGCTGTGTTTGTTAAAAAATTATCACTGATACCCAAGGCACATCTTGGCCACGGAGTGGATAATTTTAAAGTACCATGTTAGTATGTATGATAATGTGACCTAGACTGTGGACCTAGGTTTTAAGAAAATCCAGAGCAAGAGAGAAGTGTTGCTGTGGAGTCAGATTCGTCAGGTAGGAAAATCAACCCTGTATGGGATGGACTGATGTGGAGAGAAGCCGGATTAACAGGGAATAGGTTACCGCCATCACTCAAAAGCTGGGACATGAGTGGGCTGTAGGTCTACCTGTGGAGAGGGAGAAGATTCCTCCAGGAAATACTATCCAAGGGAAATTGGGAGGATTAATCTTTTTTTTTTAAAGATTTTATTTATTTATTTGACAGAGAGAGACACAGTGAGAGAGGGAACACAAGCAGGGGGAGTGGGAGAGGGAGAAGCAGGCTTCCTCGGAGCAGGGAGCCCGATGCGGGGCTTGATCCCAGGACCCTGGGACCATGACCTGAGCCGAAGGCAGACGCTTAACGACTGAGCCACCCAGGCGCCCTGGGAGGATTAATCTTAATGCCTTGAAAGAGTAAGGATTAAAAGGATATCACCTACATTTTTGAGTTTGGGGAAACGTTGAAGGCCTGGCTAGTAATCGTGGAATTAGGATCCTGCGCCACTAGGATAGGAAAGCATTAGTCTTACTAGGTTTAGGGATAAGGAAAGCACAGACATTACACAGGTCCTATAGAGCTAAGGTGTAACTCAGGATCAGAAGAGGTATATTTGAGACTTATCATGAATCTTCTAGTAGGAGAGTAGGTAAGATTTCTGAGATTAACTATTCCTACAGAACAGCAGGAACTACAGTTTATTTATATCTATCCCCAGCACATAGCACACCATGTGAGGCATACTAGGCATTCAGCAAATGTTTGTAAAATGAATGGAGGGGCAGATTGATACAGCAAATGAAATGGCATATGAAGGCAGTGACCATAAAAGCCCCTTCAAGCATATAGGGGTGGGGAATGAGTCAGACACTGTCCAGATGACTTGGAATGTGCAGTAATTGGGAACAGTTCGCTGGAGGGATGAGGGTCTTCAGTGTGACAAGCTTAAGAGATACACCGGGGATAACATGCATTTATTTAGCTCTCTATAGCACTGGTCACAATCTTTGTCTCGTTTGACCCTTACAACAAGCCCTGGGAGGCTGCAGTGCAGTGACTCTTCTCCTCATTTTGCAAATTAGATAACTATAGCTCATGGAGGTTAAGAGAGCAGCCAGGGTCCCCAGTGAGTAAGTAGCAGAGCTGGGGCTTGAACCATGGCCGTAGGACTCCAAGATCAATGTCTCTCCAGCATACTCCAGCACCTCCTATGCCAACCGTATCTGAGGTTAGTTCTCTAATCTAGATCCCTGGGAAATTTTCAGTTATCCTTTCTTCTTCCTCCCCTTTTTCCTGCTACTGATATTGCATTGTACCAGCAGAAATTGAGTACAAAGCTCAAGAAGAAAATTAGCAGTGGGGGTGGGATGCCAATGCTACAATAAATGGTGTAGAGGCAGAGAGAGGCAAAGGAGATAATTAATTTACTAGTAGCTCATCCCTCCAGGGATACACGTTTTAAATGTTACCTCTTTATCCTATGTAAGTACTAAAAACTCTGCCCCTCTGAGAATCTGGTATCTAATTGTGATTCTGATTGTCATGAAGTCTTCAGCACTCTGAAACTCCGTGGATATCCTTGTGTCACCATGGTTGCTGTCCTTGTCCAGGATAGATCGGCAAGAAGATAGGCTGGCTCTTTGCTTCTTGGATATTGACATTTTCTGTCTGCTCTCTTGGCTAGTTCAGAAATCTGTTTACTACCAGGTATTTCTTTTCCTGGAATCGACTCCTCTCACTCAGCCCAATTGTATGCAAATGGCTAGAAATGGTGAATTATGTGTATACTTCTCACATCTGAGACTCTACAGCAAGCTCATGCAATTTCT